TGTGTGATCAACATGTTTTTTCACATATATGCACAATCTACAATAACGCAAGAACAATACACTACCTACAATCACAGAATCACAACCATCACCAATGAACTACTCATCCACGTATATCATGTGAGCATAAATTAAACCTTACCTAACCCTAGATCATCATCTAAGGCTTCGTTCTAGGATTTAACCCTATTTTGTTCGGTGCACGAGGACCTGCGAATAATCCTACCATTGATTTACATATATTACGCAGTGAACACAGATTTCTAACTACTCAACTCATAAACCTAGCCTACCTGGGCGCCAAGTAGTTGTACGGAGGATTTTCAGATAAGTTTCTAGTTTTCCGGACGACATCACGGTGAATTTGGCCAAGAATCCGCAAGATCTCGCCATTACGCTAGAAATCTCATTCTCTTTCCTTCCCAAGCTTAGAGCAGCTCTTTGAGGGTTTCTAGGGTGTTTTACGACTAATTTAGGTATTTTAGGAAGAAGGAGAAAATAGAATTTCACGTTATTTGCATTCTATCCCGCCATGGCGCCAACTTACCCCGCCCTAGCGGCAACTGTCCCGCTCTGGCGGGACAATGGCCCAGAATTTTCCCGAATTTTTGTTTCTCCTAAATAACGACGGTTCGGGTCGTTATGATTAAATATGTTTCTTTGATTTTATCTTTTGAACCTATTGATACGCTCAAAATTATACCTAAAGATAATGTAACGGGATCGTATGTAATTAGTACAAACCAACAAGGTTGGGATCAAATTCCATAGGGAATAGGCGAGAAAAGATATAAAGTTGGACGATTACTTGGATGACAGTCTTCGATCCCATGAAAGTAGAAAATATTGTTTTGATTCCAACACTAAAATTGTTGTAATAAACTTGATTTTAAATTATATTAATTGAATAACTAAAGTTTTTTCCCCTCAATGGAATGCAACGTTCTCGATTTTCATGCAATTACATATTTTTGGATTTTCTTGATATATACTCCTACCCTTACACTATTACTCAATATTTCCCAAAAATTGAAGAATGTATCTCAGTATAATTTCTCAAATCTATATGAGTTATTTATATAAGGGCGATTGGTTGTGCCAAGTAAATTCAACTTATTCGTAAGAGAATTTATGAACCAGGGTTATCTCTTGAGTTCTTGCAGACTATTTCCACTACATGCCAATCCATTTATCGCCTAGGTTAATATTCGCAACCACCAATCAATCAAAATAAATAAAAATTAGTTTGATACCCTTATTAGCCAAAAATCGTAGAATATGGATATATATATATATATATATATATATAACTAAAATATTGAAGTGGTTGAAGAGCACAATCAAACGTATATCACGCCCATAATAATATTAATTGGTATACCCAAATTGCTAGAGCTAGGGGTGTACATGACCGGGTTGGTTCGGATTTTTCAAATATCAAACCAAACTATTTGTGTAAAATTTTAAATTTATAAACCAAACCAAACTAATAAAACTCGGATTTTTTTTGAGTTTTACAACCTCGGGTTGGTTCGGGTTTTTCAAATACCAAACCAAATCATTTGTGTAGAATTTTTTAATTTTTAAATCAAACCAAACTAATAAACCTTGGGTTTTTTTCAGGTTTTTTTATTTTTCCAGTAAAGTATTCATACAAACATATAATTAACTTGTGCTCCAAATATTTCTTTATAAGTCCAACCAAAATACAAGAAACAACACAAAATATGAGATGAGTGATGACACTAAAATATTCAATAAAAAATAATAATGAAATCATATAAAATATAAATATTGCAAATTAATAAGTCATAATGAATATGATCATAATTTAAAAGTGCTAAAGCATGCTAAAAGAAGTCTAATAAGTATTAATTACATGATTAAACATTAAAAAAAATTAAAATTAGATTATGTATTTTAAATGTCTAAACCAATGTAAAACTAAAGAACAAATATTCAACATTGTTGTCATTTTTAGTGTTGAATTAATTTATTTTGTTAGCATTAGTATTGATTTGATTTCAAATTGAGCTTTGCTAGAGTTACTAATATCTATGGACTACTAACCTTTATTGGACCATTCAAAATCCAAGTCTCAAAAAACTTGAAAAAATATGTTAAAAGATAAAAATTATGAAAACGTATAAATAATATTTAGAAATTACATCAAAGTAATATATAAAATAAAGTTGGTTTGGTCTTAGGTTGACTTTTTTTAGTTAAAAACAAATCAACCCAAGTATAGTCGGATTTTTTTTCCAATACCAAACCAAGTCAAACCAAACCACTAATTGAATTTTTTTTCAATTTTCGGTTCGATTTTGTACACCCCTAGCTAGAGCCTAGAGGTATTAAAATCATCACGTGAAAGCTAACACCTTATAAAATCTAGCAAGATTTATGCTTGTTAATCTAAATAAAAGATATGACAAAGTATCATTACATAGATAAAGTTATCTACTTAGAATATATCATATTCATTATTTATACATAAAAGTCTCGATAAGATGTATAACCTCAAATATGTTTCAATTAATGTTAATTTGTATAACTAAAGGAGATAACATATTTTATATATTTAATTAAACTACCTAATAAACGTTTGAGAATACGGACAAAATGAATTTCAAAATTTGAACCGAAAGTATCTGTTAAAAATACTTCATTATGTGTTTAGGTGCTCAATTGAAACAAATTGTAGATGTATCTTGTCTTGTTTAAAAGGATCGATCTAAAAAAACTTAAAACTCGTGAGACATCACTATTGCAAAAGAGACATCTAGTGGCAAGAGATTTTCCTTTTGGTGGCAATATTTATTGTCGTAAAATTAATATTGAGCATCAATTGAGTTAATGTTATTGTATTCATAGTCACTATAGCCTGCAGTGACATTTATATTCAGTATTCGTTTTAAATATCCATATTATACTACTATCACTAAATATAATATAATGATAATTATATCATTGTTACATAATTGTCGCAAAAACCTTTATTTATCTATAGCCAGCCAATCAGTTGGTGAGAAATCTGACGATCAAATCTTAGACCAAAAAAGATGACTAGAGAAAGATCATATTGTTACTTATTTGTAGAACCACTTTTTTTAAAATGACTTTCTAGAACTGGGCTTTCGAGAAAAAAATAATTTATATTTGGCTAATTCGTTTGAAAAGTGTTTTTCATAAGCAAATTGTTTTTGGCTAATTTTTTTTAAAAGTACTTTTAAGAGTCAAATTACAAAAAAGGACAACTATTAATGTATTTCTAATATTAAATTATTTTATAGAGAGAAACTATTTTAAATATCTATTATAAGAAAATTAATTTATTTTTTATTTTTTAAAATTAAAATTTACATGTTTAAATTTTCAATCAATACTACACCTTTTTGGGAGGCTGAAATCTTACATTGTTATTTTTTTTCTTTTTTCTAATCTTGTAAAAATATTGTTGTTACCTTTTTTCCAATTCTACCAAATAATATGCAAAATAATATATAATATATAAAATAATAATATATAAACGTAAAATAAATTATATGATTTATTATATAAAAATAAAAATAAAATTCTTAAATGAAATTTGACCAAATTTATGAAATATGCTACTTAATTAAAGAGAAATGTATTGGTAAATATGTATATATGAAAAGAATATTTTAGTCTTGAGAAAAATAATTTTTTATTTCTTCTTTTGTTTTTTTTTTTAAAATAGAAATTTTTAGCTTCTTCTCAACAACAGAAAAATTATTTTTCTCAACATTTAAAAGCACCTTTACTGATTTGTCAAACACTTAATTTTCAACAAAAGTGTTTTTTTCTTAAAGTAAGTGTTTCTGGTCTCCTAATATCAATGCCAAACAAGCTCTAAGTATGTGTTTACCTTTTTGGCATGTGAAAGGACATTTTTCAATAAAATGTTTTCATAAGAAAGTTATTTTTTGTATTTGGATACCAAAAATATTTTCTATTTTAATTATTATAACTTTTAATTTAATTATCAATTGCTTCAATCAGTAGGCATTTTTATCAATCTTTAATACACAAAATGTTTATCAAATAATTATTTAATTGCTAATTTTATTATTTATTTTAATATTTTTTTCAAAAAATATGTTACACTTACCAAACAATTTCTACTATATACTAGATATGAGACCTCATGCCGGCATGTGCCCAATATATGTCACTCTTTTAGTCTTAATTTATGTGATATTGTTGAAATTTGGAAAAACATCCCAAAAAATTATAATTTTAAAATATTTAAAATTGTTAATTATTGTGATTTATAGTTTTTTTGACATAATTTTTAAATAATATATATTTAGCTCTATATCCCAATTTATGTGGCGCATATAAAATTTCAAGAATCATCCAAATTTTTATATGTTTTTCAAATATTCCAAGTTGTTAATTATTGTGATTTATAGTGTTATATTACGTCATTTTTAAATAATATATGTTATTTCTTTTGTCCGAATTTATGTGGCACCGATAGAAATTTTACAATCAATCAATTTTTTTTAAATATTTTAAATTGTTAATTATCGTAATTTATAGTATATTTTAAATATAATTTTCAAATATTTGAAATATTAAAAAATACAAAATTACATAAATACCCTCGACTAGAAGAGCCACTAGCCTTCTCTATATTTCAACTATATATATATATTGAAGAATATTTTTTATCACATGAAGCACGAATTATGGAGAAGCTAGGAGGGCCCTCTTGGTCATCCTATACTTCTTCTTATTTTATGTTTTTATATAATTGATTGATTATAGCATAAGGATGAGCCAACTTGTTTTTTATAATAATAATAGTAATAATTATAATTAGTATTATTATTGTTAGATAAAACATAGTATTGTTATTATTGTTATTATATTGTTTTGTATTTGCCAAGCTTGTCTATATAAACTCTAGGATTTTATTATCCTTGCACCAAGATCAATAGCAAAAGCATATGAATTATACCCCTTTTGAAGACATGAAATCACTTTTTGCTCTCATCCTCCTCATTTCACTTGCCTTGGTAAGTTAAATTATATACAATGCACAAAAATATTTAAACAATTAGTTTATTTAATAGTAATAGTAATGTAGGTTATCGAAAAAATTCTACCGCTATTAGAAATAAAGGATTCTTTACCTCACAAATTAATAAGAAGTTTGTGTTATAAATATGATTTTTCATCTATTTTCAACCAAATCAGCTTATTTAAAAAACACATGGTGAGAAACAAATTCACATTGAAATACTGGAAAATTTCCTAATTTTTGCATGTGAAAAACTACTACATTTTCTTTTCTCACCAATTCAATCAAAATATTTGAGGGAATAGCCACTGAACATTTTTCAGTAGAATTAATCCAATATTTTTTAGTAGTGTACTTACAACAACAATAACATATCTAGTGCAATCTCATACATGAGGTCTAAAGAAAGTAATATTTATGCAGATCTTATCCTTACCTTGATATGCAGAGATGTTTTTTTTCGATACTCTCTCGACCGAAGAAAATAAGAAGAAAGACAAAAAAATTACATAATGTTATAAAAGAAATTAGTATTGTAATGGTGCACAAAACATAAACTTCTCTATTTAATGTCGTTAATTGATAACTTAAAATAAATGATCAGTAATCTTCTCTAACAAATTAAATTACATTAATAGCGTAAAAAATCATTATACGCATGGTTTAAATCCTAAAATTGCATGTTGCATTATGATCAAGCACAACATTCTTATAAACTTGCTTATTCTTTCGAAGTAACACCTCTGATCATACTAGACGTATTCGCCCATGGAAGCACGAGCCCAACACTCTACCTATTAAGATATGGATAACATCTACGTACGCTCTACCTTCCCAATCTACGCTTACTTGTGAGATTACATTGAGCCGAGGATCCATACCAAATGTTTATGCATATTTGTATACTAGATACAATACTACATGCTTGCATGAGTCCAATATATGTTATTTCATATATCTTAATTTACGTGGTACAGGTAAAATTAGGAAAGTCAATTTAATTTTATATAGTTTTTAAATATTTTAAGTTATTAATTATTGTAAATCATTGTACTTTTTACGTAATTTTCAACTAATATATGTTATTCCATATATGATATATCCCAATTTATATTGCTCAACAGATATTTCGTGAGTCAATCAATTTTTTAATATGTTTTTTCAAATATTTTAATTTGTACTATTGTGATTTATAGTACTATTAATTCGTAATTTTTATATATATAACATATACAAAAGAAAGCAACACAAATAAATTAAAATAAAATTAAATAGAAGGGCAAATTCGTCAAATGGCCTACTGCTTCCCAAGAGGCTTCTATATAATGGTAAAGTAATTAGTAATAAAAAATGAATGAACGTGTAACCATGTAACATAGAATTCAACTAACATTTTACTATCTGTCATTTCTGTGCAGTATGCAATCACCACAGATGCAAGAAGAGACCCTGGAGATTATTGGAGAATTGTGATGAAAAATGAGCTCATTCCTATAGCAATCCAGCATCTTATGCCTAGGTATGACGTTCCTTTCGAACCAAGTCCAACTGTAACTGCTTATTATCATGATGACGCTGGTATCAAACAAGAAGTCTTTTGAATCAAGACCAACTGCAACTTCTTACAGTGATAATGAAGTCAGTCTAAAAGGAGAAAGTTCCTTTGAACCAAGGCCAACTGTAACTTCTTATCGTGATGATAAAGTCAGTCTTAAAAAAGAAAAGTCTTTTGAATCAAGACCGACTTTAACTGCTTATTATCATGGTGATGTTGGCCTCAAACAAGAAAAATCATCTTTTACTAAAGATTTTGAACCAAGGCCAACTGCAACTTCTTACCATGATACTGAAGTCAGTCTTAAAGAAGAAAGGTCTTTTGAACTAAGGCCAACTTTAACTGCTTACTATCATGGTGATGTTGACCTCAAACAAGAAAAATCATATTTTACTAAAGATTTTGAACCAAGGCCAACCACAACTTTCTATCGTGACATTGAAGTCAGTCTTAAAGGAGAAAAGTCTTTTGAACCAAGACCGACTATAACTGCTTACTATCATGTGGTGCCGATCTCGAAAAAGAAAAAGCATCCTTTACTAAAGGTTTTGAACCAAGGCCGACTTTAACTTCTTACAGCAATGATGAAGTCAATCTCAAAGAAGAAAAGTCTTCTGAACCAAGGCCGGCTGTAACTGCTTACTATCATGGTGATGTTGGCCTCAAACAAGAAAAATCATATTTTACTAAAGATTTTGAACCAAGGCCAACTGCAACTTCTTACCGTGATGATGAAGTTAGTCTCAAAGAAGAAAAGTCTTTTGAACCAAGGCCGAATGTTAGTGTGTACAATGAGTGATATTGCAAAAGCATTGTGTGTCATTTAGTTTTTCTTGTAAACTCCCTCCATGTGAATGCCCTTTCGATGTTATGTGGTTTATGGAATAAGGAATAATAAACATTTGTACTATAGTATTTGTTTAGTTTAATGTAATGGTTGTTTCATTGTGTGCAAATTGTCCCTATTTATAGGGTTTGTTTGTTATAGAGGAAAATATTTTCTAGAAAATGTTTTCCAATTTTTTCATGTTTGGTTGGCTTAAATGTTTGGAAAATATTTTTCGAGTCAACTCATTTTCCTCAAATTTAAGAAAAATTACGTTCCCTTACAAAATTAAGGAAAACATTTTCCTAAACTTTACTCATCCTTTAATTTTTTCTTCTTACCCTACACATACCCGACCCTCCCCATTCAAAAAAATAATAATTTAAATTTTAAATATTTTTATTCTCTACCACCAAACCAGCCACAAAAAAATTAAAAATTAAAAAAAAAAATTCAAATTTTAAGATTTTTTTTACCTCACCCAACCCCTACCACTCCTACTCCCTACACCCCACTCCCCAAAAAGATGCTTTTGACAAATTTTTCAAATTTATTTTCTTTATAAATTTTTACGTCGCTCCCCCCCCCCAAGGGCACCCCTCCCCGGCCACCCCATTAATATTTTTTTTTGAGAGATATTTCAAATTTAAAAAAAAATCATTTTTACGCCACCCCCCACTCCCACCCCTACACCCCCCACCACCCCCACCTAGGCCATTCCCGTCAATTTTTAAAAAAAAATTGTTTTGGGAAAATATTTCAAATTTTAAACAATTTCACTTTTACTCCAGCCCCACCCCTACTCACCTCACCCCCACCCTACCCCCCTACCCTGCCACCTCCACCCAGGCCATTCCCGTAAAAAGAAATTATCTTTGGAAAATAATTTTTTTTCAGTTTTTACACCACCCCACCCCCTAACCCCCCCCCACACATCGGGATCCACCCCCTCCCCCACCTAGGCCAACCCGTTAATTTTTTTCTAAAAAAAAATTGTCTTTAGAAATATTTCAAATTTTTTTAAAAAAATTATGCCACCCCCTAGCCGCCCCCTTCCCCACCCATGCCATCCACGTTCTTTTAGGAAAAGGAAAACATGTAATCTCTATATTTGGCTAGTCATTTTTTCGTAGGAAAAAGATTATGACTCTATAAAAAAGGGCTCATTTCTTCTAACATAGCATCATTCATAATATTGTCCTAGGGGCTAAAGAGTTTTGTGTAGGGGAGAATGTGTGGGACACAGGTGTTACGTTAATACTTGTGTGAACCTCTTTGTATTTCGAGTGAATTGTATGAGGTTATTCCTCTCTGTATTTAGTACTCTTTTTTTATATAATGTACTAGAGAAATTGTCCAAGCTTCGCGCGGCTAGAAGAAATATTTATTTGACAATAATATATAATATTTATATTCATGTTAGTATCATATATATAGGCAATATTGATATTCTCTTCATCTGTGATATGATACACTTTTACATTTTTTTTTAAAAAAATTAAATTTTTTTACATCTTTTAAGTGCAAACTATTCATATGTATATAGTAGAATAAAATAATTATCGTGATGAAATAAATGAAATAAGAGATCATATCATGAAATAACATTATATTGAATTACATTTTTATCGATCCTCTATAAAAATTCTAATTTAGTAAAAAAAACTTTCGAAGTTCTTCATTGTGTTATTAATTTTTTTATTATAATTTTTATATTTAAATATTAATTAAATATTTATAAAAATTATGAAAAAGAAACATGAAAAAGTTATAACAATATTTAACAGTAGAAGTTACAAGTAAAATGAAGAGATATGAGTTATGAGTTTTATTATACATTAATTGCATTAATAATCATGTATTAATTTTATTTGTAAAAATAAATAAATATGAAAATAAGAGATAGAAATACAATATTGAATAAAAAAAATATAAATACATTTCAAACAAAAAAATAGTTACGAAAACAGATTGTTACATACAAAAAAAAAGACATCATAGAATTAACATTTTATTTTTAATTATTTTCTTGCAAGCATAATAAAAATGAAGTGCATGATCATCATAATTATTTTTTAAAAAATAAGATAGTTATATTAATTGTGCTTGATAAACAAATAGAATAGTAAAGAACCAAATGAGTAGCATTGTCAATACATGTAGTTAAGTTACTTATACAAACTAAAGTTTTAAAAAAATCTAGCAAAAGTAGCTACCTTACCAATACAAGTCAAAGTAAAAAAAAAATCTAACAAAAATAATCCTTAATTATGCTTCAAAAACTGTTTTTCTTCTACCATCTTTCTTTGCAGGTAGATCCGCCGTCATTTCTTTGCTTCATATGTCAAACTCTTCATCATATGCTACTAATTGAATAGAAAAACATAATTATGAATAAATAAAATATCATACCAATTGAAAGTGATTATACCAAAAGAAAGAAAGAAATCTAAACTATATGTAATACATCTGTAAAAAAAAAATCAATTGTACTAACAATAAATAATAATCATCTCTTGAAATCTACCAAATATTATAATCAAACTATATTATATTCTGTAAATTGACTATTAAAGAGAACAATCACATACTAACAACACATTGTTCATTATTACAAAGTTTATTTTAATCATACTTGCTTGAAGAATGATAATACATATGTATACATTGAAATTTTGTGGACTCTACCAAACGTGTTCAATTTGAATTGGGACACTAGAAGGTGTGTTCAGTTTCAATTAGAATTCTTGGAGGCTAAACCCTAAACCCCAGTTCATGCTTATATAAAGGGTACTATATTCCCTTGAAACGACATCTCGAATATTCTGCAAATTCATGAAATATTCATATAGAGGTCAAATATAAATCATCATAGTTCGAGAAATACGCCACTAACGGCCCTCGAATCATGGACAAATATATTATGAGAGAAGAATCGAGGAAGGAACAGAACTGAACTCGCAATCTTGATAAATAAAATTATGTATTTTCATATTTTATTTGTGATTGTAATTTATTTTACATATGTTTAAAATTTGTTGCAAACAAATTCATTTGTACACATTGAAATTTTGTGGGACTCTACAAGACGTGTTCAATTCGAATTGGGACTCTAGAAGGTATGTTCAATTTCAATTAGAATTCTTGAAGGCTACTCAACTCTAAACCCTAGTTCACGCCTACATAAAGGGTACTAAATTCCCTTAAAAGGCATCTTGAAAATTTCAAGGAGATCAAGTGTCACGACCCAGGAGTACCCCTAGAACTGACACGGCGTACAAGACTCCGAAAAGCCTCTTAGCATATCATAACATAACATAAAAGGAAATGGTGCGAAAATTTAAAACTTTTCTTTACGATCGAAGTCTTTTATAAAAACAAGCGGAAGTCTACACTTTGTCTCAAACCATCTATAACCATTTAAACTAAAAACTTTGGGACGCAGCCCATACAAATTCTAAAACATAAAAAAAGGACTTAAAGGACATGGTGGTCAAGCCCTCAAATGTTATGACTTAAAGGACATGGTGGTCAAGCCCTCGAATGCTATGAGGATTCACCATAACTTCTCTTCTTGATCTACTATGAACCTAGCCACGAGGATGGAAGTCGATATCTCCAAACCCTACACTTTGGGAAAAATGTAGAAAATATGGGTTAGTATAAAAATGCACTAAGTATGATAGCCATGCAGAAAAACCTTTAAAGCATGCTGAAAAGGACATTTTAGTTTAAAAGCATGCACTTTACCAAGTTTGAAAATCACCATGAACATTAGTATAAAAGCATAAGTCACAAACATATTCAACATATAGGTCATCATATCATAATGGAAACATACCATAAATACCCTCAAAACATCCTTGTGCAATGCATGAATAAGATCCCATAATCCTACCCACAATAAGGAAAGCTTCTTGAATAACTATAATTCATAATTCATATTCTTGTTCATACTATCATAGCATAATAGAACTATCTCATAAGTAACCCTAAGTTATACTTGTGCAATGCATAAATAAGATCCCATAATCCCATCTATACTAAGTACCACTTTTAGGTCACCATAATCATACTCATCATTCTTTAATCTCATCATTTGTTCATACTCATAGACAAGGAACATTCACATTTAATAAGCCATATCAAGGAAAGTAACATATAGCAACAATCCAAGTTAAGCATCCATCATTTCCATTAGCCTTTATATCAACATACTTAGTAGCATCATCATAAGCATATTCATTTTATAAAACATTATAACATAAAGGAGCACACCATGACTACTCTCAAAGCCTACTTGTGCAATGCATGGATGAAGGCTCATACCCCCACCCACACTAAGTAGTGCATTCTTGAGAAGCCATAGTTCATAATCATTCATTGTGAGGGTAAGCCTTAACCAACATAGACCATGTGAGCAAATCAAGGGTGGTTTACTTGCCTAAGGTAGGACCGGTAACATTTAGCTTAGGTGGATCCATTAGCTAATAACCTATGAGGGCACATAGTTTATGGGATAAGGAGATTGCTACTAGATATCCCGTCTCAACTCACGTATGGGCATCCATCTCAAGAGATTGCTACTACAAACCCCGCCTCAACTCACGTATGCGTTTCCATCTCAAGCAATAACCACTCAGTGCTTAGCATTATTCCCCACAGAGTACTTAACATTTGTTTACTTGAGTTCATTATTTTGGGAGAAATGGGATATGGATATTGCTACTAGATACCCCGCCTCAACTCACGTATGGGCATCCATCTCAAGAGATTGCTACTAGAAACTCCCCCTCAACTCACGTATGAGTTTCCATATCTATCAATATCCATCTCAACCCAATATCTTTCATAAGATAGCTCATAGATTCAATTGGAGAGAATAACCTTTCAACCTAAGAATCCCCATATTATGAGAAAACCTTTCACAACATGCCATCATCATTCATAAGTGTATAATTGAGAATAGTCTT